ACGACGCTGCAACTTAATATCAAGATGTAACGTATCAATAAAAAATATATATATTATGACTGGAGAAATCTTACATCTAAAGCAATTCTCTCATTGCAATAGGTATAAATTTTTGGTAAACAAAACAATATGCATAAATAACTTGTATACTACCTGCTTTTGTGCAACATCACTGTCAGGAGGTCAGGTATGTCGCACACACCTTGCCGTGAAATCATGCAGATCAGTCTATCATATTGAAAAACATCGACTTGTATTGTTCTATCGTTCGATGATAATTGTCACGGATTGGACTTACTAAGGAAGCTAACCAGCATTCGTTCATGTCTTGCACTCAAACGAGCAAATCTTTTAAGTATCGCGATCCTAAGTGTCGCGGAATTTGGTGTTAGTTAATTTTTGCTATTGCTACGTGGACTTGCTGGTTGACTGTTCGCTTGTTGCGCGCGTTGTATATAAATGTTTAAAAGCTTCAATTTGCTGGTATATAAACAACTGAGATGAGGTTTCAACAATTCTTCACCAACTGCCAAGTGTATTGCTACCATACAGAATACAGCACTTTTGCGTACTGCACTTTCAGTATCATCATATGCCTGTACAAAAATATAATATTGTATATTATGACAATAAAAAAACCTATTTTTAGAATATATTTAAACTCACTTTGATAAGACCAGGCATAACTTTTGATAAATGAGGTTCTATTGCATCACGACCCCAATGTTCCACAACCTTATGAAGCATTTTTATTGCGCCCATATTCAAGGGATATGGTTCAGTAGTTATTATAGTTGATACTAAGTGAATAACTTGTTCTGGTTTTAAAACCATTGCTATCGTTGCAGCACATTTTTCCGCCATCCATAGAACCTAATAGAATGAAAATATTAACAATCGTTTATATACTATGAAATTAATTTATATACTTACTGGAGATCTGGAATTACTGCTACTGGAAGAATCTTGTTTTTGATCATCTAACTTATACGCGTTAATCACTTTTAAAACCAGTAATTCAGGATAAACAGAAAAACTATCTACAAGTTCCGTACATTTAAGCATATCAATTAGAGTTTGAAGTACTTCTACTTGCATCTTCTTACTATCGTTAGTCAAACTATCTAATAATGTTTTGAGCAGTTTTCTAGATAAAGACAAATAATTACAATTCTCATATTGTAATGATATAATTCAAACGCATGAATTATTAATAATACATACTTAAAATTTTGTTTAATGTACAAGGCATCTCCCTCACGAACGTATAATTGAAATTCTTGTAATGCTGATACTTTTTCTTCGGTTTGTGTCATTTTAGATTGTAATGTTTTAATCATATTATCTAAAACTTCTGGCCTTTTTATCGAATCAGGTGATGAACCTGATATAAATATTTAATACATGAAAAAAACATGCATAAGTCAATATTATCATATTGTATAACTTTAAACAATGCTATATTTACCATGCGTTTTGTAACCATTATTTTCTTGAGGTAGAATTAGATCTCCTGCAATAGTATCACTTGAACCATTTACTGTAATATTAGTAACAGATCGTCCTCTTTGGGTAGGAGAAGAAACGGAAGATGAACGACCCTAAAAATAAAGCTATTACATATTTCAATTACTATATTCTTTTAAGAATATTAGTTATTTAATTACCGAATTGCATAATGTAAGTCCTTCCATTTTTTCTTCTACATCAGCCATATTGCTAATTCCACTATCTTTACTAGTAGTTGCTCTTTCCAAACGTTCAAAACCATAATTTTGTATTTCAGCTGTGGTACGTCTTAAGGATCTGTAGAAAGTACTTAAAAATTAAAATGACTAAAAATTATAAATAATAGAATTACCAACTTAAGAATATCACTCTTACTTATAAACTTCTTCCAAATTTTCATCCGCATTGTCGATATCAGTTTTACCTTTCGAACGAGCTGGTGAACTCTGTGCTCTAGGAGGCGGAGTTCCAGGAGATGCAGGATTACTCGAACCTGATGATTTTCTTAAATGATTCTGTACTAATGGCAATGCCGCTTCCTATAATATACATAAATATACATATATGTTCAATATAAATAGAATATTCATTTGTTACAAAAACATTCTACGTAACTAACCTGATAATACTTCGGTAATTCAGCTAATATCATAGTCACTTTTGGAGGATTTAAATTATATAGCGATATAACAGCATTTTGTGCATGTCTTCTGACTTCTTGGCTTTTAACATCATTCGACCAATCAAGTAACCTTGCTAATGCTGTTCCTGCAGAACTATTAAGTGCAGATGGTTGTGCTGTTTCTGCTATTTGTGTAATAAACATAAGCGTCGCCACTTTTACGCGAGAATTTGGAGTTTGTGTTGGATCTGTTAAATACCTCATTACAGCAGGTAAAAGTTGCTCTCCTGGGAAATATTCTCTGCGAATTCGGAGAGAAATACAAATAATTAAAATAAATATAAAAGTCTATATTAATTTCAAAATTAATAAAAATTACATCCATTCTTACCTAACAACTTCAAGCGTTTTATGAATTTTTGCTTGTATCGAACCAAGTAAGTCAGTGCCTAATTTGTTCAAAAGTCTTGCACATAAAACATAAAGCCAATCGCCAAGATCTTCACTATGAGTAGTTATTAGTTCATTCAATGTATCCAAAAATAAACTGAAAACTTTTGTATGAGAATCCATGAACATTTTCGTAAAAATATCCGTTACTTTTCGCAATTCCGTAGCTGTAAGCGTATTTCCGTTTGAAAGAAAATGTTGTAATCCAACTAAACCTTCTTTTCTATCGCCCCAATGTTTATGTGCACAATTTTCTATAATTTCCTTAATATCCTGAAAGTTAAAGGATTATATATTATATTTTCTATAAATATATGTAATGTAAAAAATTTGTCCACAATAAAAATATTTTAAATGTATTTTCAATCGAGTTCTGCTATATTTCCTTTTTTGGCAAAAGAGTATAGTGTAAGGTATCGAATATGTATGAAATAAATGAAAGTGAATATTAAATTTAACAAACCTTTGGGATAGACTGATCCCACATATCACGATATAGTCTTTGTTGAGAGCCACTCCATGAGAACGACTAATGGGTAGATGGACGATGGACAGATATGGAGAACAGAACGGCGCATCGCGTTAGTCCAAACCAAACAAATACGCCGCAAAAAAACCAAAAGAAAAAACCAGACATGCGTTATCTACAATATAAGATGCTGAAAGCTTGTTTTTTAAGCTTGTGATCTACTATTCTACTCTGTCAATTCAAGAAATAGATATTTTGATATTTTTCGAATATGAATAAATGAAATTCAGCGGAAATTCAAATATCTAATTAATTGAAAATATAATTTATTTTACATGAAATAATAAATTATACACATGAGCACATAGCACGAACTTGTCTATAATTAAAAGCAAATATGTTTAAAGCATTTTCAAATTGCATAAAAAATAAAAATCTTCAAATAAAAATAATATTGCAAGCTCTTAATTTCATTGTAAATAAATTAGAAAAGCATTATTTAAATAAATAAAATAAGATAAGCATTATGATAAAATAAGTGTAATGACTGTAATGAATAGTTTGAGTGATACAGTAATGAAGTGATACTATATACTACTGATACTATATTGAGTGATACTATAATGAATAAAGACGTGTATGTTTTAATTACATGAAATCGATGTATTTTGGATATTGGATATTCTATTTTTGCATTATTTTATTGTGTATTTTTTTAATGTGATGAGATAATGAAATAATAGCTATTCTATTAATAGTGTCAATATCATTCCTTATACTTACATCGTTTGGTCGTCTAAAACTGTCCATACTTCGTTCAGAACATATGCTACTAGTTTCACTATCATCACTGTGATCACCTTTTCCTCTTGGTGTTCTTGTATAATTATCAATATTTTCAAATGTAAGCGCATCCGCCAATGCTGATTCTGCTTCGCGTGATTGTTGCAACATCTTTTGCGCCATGACTGGTCTGGATTGAGGTCTATCCGTTGGAGACATATGTAAACTTCTTCCTCTATATTTTATATAATGTTCTTTATTCGGTCAAGATTAAAATTAAACAAAATTAACAAGATAAATATTACCGTATTTTGCTTGCAAAACTTCTGTCCATTCCAAACCTTTGTGGGCTTGGCTCACGACTATTACCGGTACTTCTGATTCCATGTCCAGATAACCGTCTAGGTCTTGCAATTAACGATTCTCCTTCACGATTATAAGTTGCATAACTCAGTCTTGATGATGGCGATCCTGATCTACTGCTAGCTATTATATATAACATATAAATTTTATTAAATTACACGTTTCTTTAAAAAAAATGAATTTATTATTTATTTATTTTTTTTTTTTTTTATGAACTTACGCTGAGATTGAGACACTCCAGACATTCGGGTTCTTGTTCTTGCCGTTCTTTCTGGACTAGCAACAGCAGTTGTGTCTGGTGATTTGCTAGGACGTGCTAAATGAAGAAATTATAATTCATTTGAAATATATGATAAAAAAACTACTAGAATAATTGAAGATTCTAGCAATAAATACTCACGAAGCGATGCTTTCTGTCTACTCATGTTCGCATACATCATTCTCGCTTTAGCTCTTTGTGCGGCTTGCAAATCTATCGCACTAGTCGATCTAACACTCGAAGTTCCACGATCTGAAGAAAAGATTAAAAAAATTAAAAACTGAAAAAAATTTACTATTCACGTATATTAGAAGCAACAGTGCATGTTCTAAGTCATGGTGATATTTTAAAACATCAAACGAGAAGATAACAATTACAATGACTATCAGTGGGTCTTTGGAGGACTGGGATACCAGATTGACGATATGACCGTGGCAAGGACGGCGTTCGTCTGAGTGGGCCATGTGGTTGACCCGAAGTTTGATGCAAATTTTCCGTACTACCTTCATATGTTTAATATAAAGAGGAGTCACAAAAGCAGCATGAAAAAAAGCGAGAAGTATTTTATATACCGAATTGTTCTATCTTATATTTGTCTCTGCAATTATATCAATACCAATCCTATTTCAAATATATATCTATTTCATTTTCGATAATTGAATTAAAAATATGGAGATATACCTGTAACACTCATCACTGGTCTGGATGTTCGGGGACTAACGCTCGCTGATCTCGTAACTACATTTAAACTGTTAATGCTACCGCTATTGCTGAGAGACATTAACGAACGCTTATATGCAGTGTCAAGGCTATTGAGCAATGCTTCTGCTTGTTCCGGGAAATGATCTTTGAAAGCCCAGTACGATCTGAAAAGATTCGAAATACAATCTGATATCTTTTCAATAAAGGAAAAATAAACAAAACAACAAGAATATTTACTTCCTAGCAAAAGCTCTCGCTTCCGAATCTGAATCTGCAATACCTTTCTTGATCGTGTCTTGCAATGTAGTCACGTGTTTTTGTAATATTTGAGTAGGCCATATTTGTAAAATTAGATTTAGATATTCGCATGAAGCTCGACGTATGTCTTTACTTTTGTGACTTAAGCACGATGTGATAATTGGCACAAAACGACTGCAATGTGTATTTTGAAGAATAAACCTTACTGCTACGGCACCAGCTGTTGCCACAACCTAAATGTGCAAAATCGTCAATATAAAAGTTTTTCTATGTTATCACAATTGTTCTTCGTCAATATCGACGCTAAATAATTACGAGTCTCACCTTGGCACTATTTTGTATGAGATTCATTAAGGTGAGTAAGACTGCTTCTCCAAAGCTGGCAAACTTATTTTTTAACTGTTGACTAAGATATGCTAAAGTAATGCACGCTTCCCTTACCACTTGCGATCTAAGATCCGTGCAAGCAACTTCAAAAGGTCTTTGAACATTCTTCAAATTTTCTAAAAAGTTTTCGTAATTCGTACCACCTGCGATGATAATTGCTCTTAATTTTTTCATCTGTAAAATTAATAAAAATTAAATATATATTATTAAATAAAAATTAAATTTTTAGCATATATAATTCAAATCGATTAGCATTGATATTATAATAATATTATCTTGATACATACACTTTCTGTCCTTTGTTTCCAATCTTTTTTATCATCACCAACATTATCTTTTATAATTTTCATTTGCTCTTCAAGATCTTTTGCGGAAAATAAATTTACGGATGGCACATCTTCGAATGTTGTAAGGAAAGTTTCTTCATCGACGGCACCAGCTTGAGCTGAATATATTAATTTTTTTTTTCATATTAATGCATATATTATAATATTATTTTATAAGATATTGCCTATAACATTTTTATTTTATTTAGAATATAGAATACTAAATATTTTAAAAAATCGTATAAATCTTATTGAAAAATTTTAATTATATCTTTAAATTTAGAACTTTTATATTTTTAAATAATATTAAATAATATTTTAAAATATTTTTTAAAAAAATGTTTCGTATGACATTTTATAACATTGAATATATTTTATGATAATTTAGAACATTGTTAAATGAGAATGATATAAAAAGCAAGACAATTAAATAATAATTACGAGTATATATATATATATATATATATA